GTTAGTAATCTGTGAAATCAGATCTCTAATCCTTTTATAAGTTGAAGAAAACTTCTTATTTAGTGCCTAGATGAAAGCTTGGACCTGAATGCACTTCTCTGCCATTTCATGTGACCAGAGGATCTCAATAAGTACTGCATTATACGTGGGTATTCTTATGAAAATTTGGTCTCTAGTATCTCCTATCAATAGAGATATCTTCACATGGTCAAGAGCAAGAGAAAAAGTGGTGATGATATTAAAAAAGCCAAGGTGGTCAGCCTTTGCAATTGATGTGCACGAACTGCATACACTGGTTAGATAATAAAAGGGCATAGTGATGGGCAATGGCTAGGTGGCAAAGGCGGTTATTTGATAGCAGTGGTTATCGATGATGGATTGAGTTAGCTATAAAGTGATGTCTGATTTACATGAATTAGAAATGAAAGAGAGAAAAATAAGACAAAAGAGAATAGTTCAATCCAAATATGCGACTCATACACAAGCATAGTTATCAAATCGTGTATCAAAAGGCGTATCGTTTTTTAAAAATCATGTATCGTAATATACGTTGCAAATTTAAATAAATAATAATAAAATATATATACCTTTGAAAAAAAATTATACACTCATAAAAACATGACATTTTATTAATATTCCACCAACTATTCAAGTTATCAACATAGTTCACTAATATTATAATGCAAAGTTCACAACCATAGTTCACTAATTCAAGCTTCAAACACCAAAGAGACTTCTAATCCAAATTTCTAACATCCATTTTTAGTCATTTCTATATGAAAATAGAATGTTGGTTATGCCACTGTTTCACAAAATTAAAATTAATCAAGATTTAGAATTTTTAATACAAAAAAAAATTTATATATATATATATGGCTTTGTAAATAAATTAACATTATTTCTTACACTGCACAGGACCACAGGTATGATGAAAACTGGGAAGAAGACGAAGAAGATGGCAATTTTGATGGAATACCTGGAGAAGGAAGAAGAAGGCAGCTNTATACAAAAAAAAAAATTTATATATATATATGGCTTTGTAAATAAATTAACATTATTTCTTACACTGCACAGGACCACAGGTATGATGAAAACTGGGAAGAAGACGAAGAAGATGGCAGTTTTGATGGAATACCTGGAGAAGGAAGAAGAAGGCAGCTTCGATGGAGGCAAATGGAAGAACAGAGAGACAGCTTTGATGGAGGAACAAAAAACACCCACAGTCGAAGACCAGCGAACACCCACGAGTCGTCGTCGATGGCTGAAGAACACCGAGAATCGAACGTGGTCGAAAGCTGAAGGACACCCAGAGACATCAGACTCGAAGACCAATAAAGTGAGCCAACAACAAAGAAGGAAAAAAAAAATTTATCTTTTTTGTAACCCTAGCCANACCAGCGAACGTGGTCGAAAGCTGAAGGACACCCAGAGACATCAGACTCGAAGACCAATAAAGTGAGCCAACAACAAAGAAGGAAAAAAAAAATTTATCTTTTTTGTAACCCTAGCCACTGAAACGACATCGTTTTAGTGGTTATAGGGATAAAAAAATCAGCCTCTTGGCCAAAAAACAACGTTCCCCAAAAAAAAAAAAAAAAAAAAGTTTTTGCACGTATCGTATATCGGACGATACAATGCAAAAACGATACATAACTACGATCCGTATCGTTTTAGGCCTATATCGTAACGTATCGTATGATATGTATCGCGTATCATACGATACTAACAACTATGTACNTCGTATCGTATCGTATGATATGTATCGCGTATCATACGATACTAACAACTATGTACACAAGTAAAATACTAATATTATCAGCTCCATTAATGCCAGCGAAACTCTGCAAACTGATTGGGAGAATGTTACTTTGGAAATGTGAAAGGATCACTTTGTTGTTCTACAAAAACTTGCGGTGTCAGTGTGATATACTTAAAAGTCTAAGCAGAGAGTATTAGACACAACTACTATTCCATTCTGAGTCATTATAATCATGAGATGCAGACTCTCATAGAAATTATGGCAAATGCTGGGTCTAATCACCTATTCTGATCTATCAGGAAGATCATTTTATTTGTTTTATACTTTTTGATAAGAATGGATTAAAGTTGACAGACAAAACCCTACCAGACTGTTGCGCTACCTACCATACACCCTTCCCCGAGGACACATAAAATGTTTCAAGGTTGGAAGTCTACTTGTCGTAGAATGGACTTTAGAGTCCCATCTATTGCCTTCGGTTTGATGATGCATAAAAGTGGATTTATGCACAATCAAACAGTCGAGTGTGTAGTGAGAAACAATTAATGAAACAATCAATAATAAGAGAAGAAAATTGGGTGGTTGGGTCTGGGTGACCTAACCACTAAAGACGGTAACGGTGGTCAAAGAACTCTATTAATGAGAGAGAGAGAGCAAGAGTACGCTCCAGATGAGGTGTGTGAGATCTCTCAAGATGAGGTGTGTATTCTACCCCCACGTGTAAAAGGTTTATAATTTACAGGCATAGAGCTCTAACTGAGACGGGGATGTGAGGGTTAAACTACTAGTTTATCGAGAAAGATAGCTACAATTGGGGATGAGTACTATCTTGGAGTCATGACTATCCTGATGATTGCGCTCCCACGTGCATTGACTCTTCTTGGACTCTTGAGCTTTGGACTGGATTGAAATCATTAGCTAAGTCTGATCTTCCTTTTGATGGTTTGGGCTAAACCCATGAACTAGGCCCATGCTTGGTTTGAATTTGGGCTCGACATTTGTCCCCACGCCCCAAACCCTATTAGTGATACGAGGATTGAGGGCATGAGTTAACTCCTTCATTTGGGTAGACCAAGGAACCTTGTTCCACACGGTGGCTTCTTCTGTTCAACTTGTCTCTCCACTGCATTTTCGAAGCTTATTTCTTCGTCTGGTAGCCCATAAGCAGTAGAGAGGATGAAGAGAGGTATAGACGCTTCTACGCGAGGAGATGGAGATATTGTGGCGAGTGCCACCTTGGAAAAAGTGAGGGGGCACCATGGAGATGATCCAGGACAACGCCATAGGTGATCCCGTGGTTGATAGATTAATGGTGAAGGCTCTCTATGTAACTAGGATGACGACTTTCCCTCATCCCAAGAGGGCAAGATCTGATGCTGCTAGCGCTTCCCAACTAAGGTCTAATAGCCTTAATGTTTCTCGAAAGGTGGGACCTGATGGTGTCCTCGTTTCTTCTCAACATATGACTCTTTGAGTCCTAGGGTTAGTTACTTTAGAGATTAAGACTCATGTGTAGATTTCCACCGAGACCAGAGCTCCGCGTAATTGTATTGCTTCCAACAGTGACTCGGTGCCCATGATGCAGGACGTGAATTTGCCTGAGGAGCATCTTTGGAGGTTTGTGACAGCCTCGAATATTAGAGAGGTCAGCTCTCGGGATCCTGAGAGTAACATCGATACCACGATGGAGGGCTTTGCTATGGTACCCTTATTTTCTGTGCAACCTTGTCTTCTGTATGTTTTGGTCATACTGACACTCTTGCTTTTGGATATTCGTAGATGGCTAGGGTTTTTCCTTGCCTTTTTTCGAGGGTGTTCAAACTTGATAAGGTGTCAAGAGCATTGCCAGAAGAAAGGCGAGTGCGCCAGGCTGTTGAGGATCAGTTAAGGTTGGCTTATGAGAGAGTAACACGTCTTAAGGCCGAGTTTATAGAGACCAAANGAGGGTGTTCAAACTTGATAAGGTGTCAAGAGCATTGCCAGAAGAAAGGCGAGTGCGCCAGGCTGTTGAGGATCAATTAAGGTTGGCTTATGAGAGAGTAACACGTCTTAAGGCCGAGTTTATAGAGACCAAAGTGTGTAAGAAAAGACAGTTAGGCCAAGCTTATGGCGACTTATGAGAGAGTGGTTAAGCTGGAGAAGGGGCTGCGTGCGTGAGAGAAGCAGAGTTAGATTAAAAAAACCACTAAACTGGAGATTGGGGTTGTTTGCATGAGAGCAGAGGCAAAGTGAGGCCGAGTTTTGGGTAACTCGAGAAAAATTCGCTAAACTGGAGACTGAGACTGTCTGTATGAGAGTAGAGGCAGAGTTAGGCCGAGCTTCTAGTGACTCGTGAGGGAGCCACTAAGTTGGAGATTGAGGTCGCCTACATGAGAGCAGGCAGAGTTAGGTCGAGCTTCTGACGACTCGTGAAAAAGCCGCTAAACTAAAGATTGAGATTGCCTGTAGAACAGAGGCAAAATGAGGCTGAGCTTTTGACGACTCCTGAGAGAGGCACTAAGCTGAAAACATAAGCTGCTTGCGTGAGAACAGAAATAGAAAGAGGCCGAGCTTCTGGCGACTCTCGAGAAAGCCACTAAGCTAGGGATTGAAGCTACTTGCATGAGAGTAAAGGCAGAGTTAAGCCAAGTTTTTGGCGACTCAAGAGAAAGCCGCTAAGCTGGGGATTGAAGCTGCTTGCATGACATCAGACAAAAAGAGGCCCAGCTTTTGGCGACTCGCAAGAGAACCGCTAAGCTGGGGATTGAGGCTGCTTGCGTGAGAGCAGACAAAAAGAGGCCAAGCATTTGGCGACTCGGGTGGCTCTCTCCCAAGAGACAAAGATGAGGAGGGAGATGACTCGTGAGGGTAGCTAGTAGGATAGAGCTGGCAGTGTTAGGCGTCTAGTGGGGAAGGCGAGGTCACTTGATGCGCCAAGAGGGGTGACATGAGGCACCAAAGGCAATGCTAGATGAGCAGGGCACGCAATGCCTGCAGTGTGCCCAGGCAGGCAAGGAGTTAGGCACGCAAGCATGCGAGGAGGCAATCGCCAAGGTCACTAAGGCCACCAAGGCAAAGGTGCGCAAGCAGGCGAAGAGCTAGGCGTCAAGGCAGGGCACGCAAGAGCCGATGGGCACCGGCGGGGGCGCTTCTAGGCATAAGCGCAGAGCGTCGGGTGCCGTTGGGCACGGGCGTCAGCCTAGGGCACCGCTGGGCGAGGCTAGGCATTTGAGAGGATGACAATGAACCATTCGGCGATGCCATGGAAGATAGCGGCACCAAGGGAGGCCGTGACATGGGAGAAAGTGTCGCCAAGGGAGGTACCCAGGGCAACGATGAAGGTGGCAACCCCGGAGTGATGGGCGGTACCCATGGTGCAGGTAGGGGCAACCCTGAAGTGGCGGGCGACGCCCATGGCGCGACTGTTGGCGTGCTTGGCGAGGCACGACACGAGGCAGGTGACTCCTTCACATAGGTGAGGCATGGCTGGCAAGAGGGAGCAACCGGGCAACGCCATTGCACTGGGGAGCCATTGGGCGGCACCAGCTTGTGCGACGCCTTCGCGCAAGGGAGCAGTTGGGCAGCGCAAGCTGAGAGGTGCCAACTTGGGCGATGTTAAGCGCTGGTGACTGGGGCACTAGCATGCTGGCGTAAGGCACCTAGACATTGGGCACTGGTTGGAGTATGAGAAAACCATGAAAAAATGAAAAAACTTTGAATGGCCATAACTTTGTGCTCAGTTGTTCGTTTGAGGCGAATTTTTTTTTTTTTAATTCGGGTAATTTTTTCGAAATCTACAACAATCAAACAACCTACGACGGTTTGAGCACAAAATTTTTTCAAAAAACGCTTATTTTTCTCACTAAATTTGAAATTTAACCACAAATTAGTGAAAAAATAGATTTTACACATGTCTACTTTTTGTATTCCCGATTACGCAAGGACTCAGCTCGCCTTACTTTGGCAACATCCTTAGCGTGAGGATTTGCTAGTTCTGGTTAACCAGTTGTTGCATGGTCTCCAACAATTATTGGGATTTAGGGACGGGATTCGCCGGTGGTGACGGGACCTCGTCGTGATGCGGCGAGTCATCTTCTGCTTGGTAGTTTATGGATCTGATTGTGATTGTCATTGAAGGTAGTCTTGAAGGTAGGAAGACTGTTGGGTGAGAATCAAATCGTTCTCACAGACGATGTCAAACTGATGATGCATAAAAGTGAATTTATACACAATCAAACAATCGAATATGTGGTGTGAAGCAATTAATAAAATAATTAATAATAAGAAATAAAGATTAGGTGGTTGCGTATGGGTGACCTAACCACTAAAGGCGGCAATGGTAGTCGGAGAACTCTATTAATGAGAGAATACAAGGTAGTTGGAGAGAGAAAGAGCGCAAGAGTTCGCTCAAGGTGAAGTGTGTGAGATCTCTCAAGGTGAGGAGTGTCCTGCCCCTATGTGTAAGGGGTTTACAATTTATAGTTACAGAACCTTAACTGAGACGGTGACGTGAGGGTCAAACTACTAATTTATCGTGGAGGATAACTACAATTGGAGATGGTCACTATCTTAGAGGCAAAGCTATCTTGATGATTGTTCTCCCACGTGCGTTGACTCTTCCTGGACTCTTGAACTTTAGACTNGGCATATTATTTAACTCGTCTCCAATGTGTTTGTGTCCTATTTTTTTGAAAAAATTCATGTCAATGTTGTGTCGTATCCATATCTGTGCTTCTTAGGTTTCATTTGGGTTGATGATTACACATTGAGAGATGAACAAAATGTCATCCCACAAGCATGGTTAGGATGGAAAGAGAAGAAATGGATCACTATTTTCTTGTTTACTTCTTGTGACTTCAATTTGTACTACTTTTTGGGATTTTAATTAAGTGATTATGGCTTATTATGACATGTATTTGGGAGAATGTTGAACAATGAGATGTATTAGTATATTTAATGACTTATGTGATTCTAGTATTTTGCTCTGTGTCTTATTTGATGAGTTGATAGATGTATTGAGATAAAGAATTTTGACTTGTTTTTTAACAGGGAATTGATATAAAGCTATTGAATATGACATAAATTGAAGTGATTACCTAAAATATTTTATTTTTTAATTTTCAGAGATTCGTTACCAAACTCAGTTTTTGTTTTTTCTAGTTTTAAAAGTTAAAACAAAAAACTTGTTTGGTTGCAGTACCTGTTACCAAACTTAAACCCCTTTTTTTTTTGTGGTAAAAAGTTAAAATAAAAAACTAGTTTGGTTGTAGTTTATGTTTAAGAAACTTTGAAAAGTAAAACAGAAAACATTTTTGGTAATCACTTCAATTTATGTCATATTCAATAGCTTTATATCAATTCCTTGCTAAAAAACAAATCAAAATTCTTTATCCCAATATATATCTATCAACTAATCAAATAAGAGACAAAGTAAAATACTAGAATCACATAAGTCATTAAAGATACTAAAATACATGACATAGGAAGCCATAACCATTTAACTAAAATCCCAACAAGTAGTACAAATACTAAGAAAAGTAGTGCATAATAGAAGATCAAATTGAAACAACAATAAGTAAGCATGAAAATAGTGATTCATTTCTTGTCTCACTATCGTGACTGGGCTTGTGGGATGACATTATGTTCATTTCTTAATGCGTTGTACTCATCAACCCAAATGAAGCAATCATCATGCTCACATCATCGTGGACAATGATAAAAAGGTTGATCATTGTTTCTTTTGGTCCTTGCAATCAACACATTCATGTTACCGGATCCAGATGAGCATATAGTGCNGAAAATGTAGCGAAGCCTGTCTGAAAAGAACAAGAAACCTGTAATTGGAAAAAGAGAAAATTACATCTAGGCCCGTAAGATCCATGAGATCTGCACACGCGTAGTACATTGTCTCTTGCCGTTAATGTCCTAGTATATTTGATACTAAATTATATCCAAACATTGAAATTTAAAGTGTACAATACTTATATTTTTTAAGTTTAAAATATTATATTTAAATTAAAAATATTATAATTAAAAATAAAATATTAAATATTAAATATTTTAAATTTTACAATTAATTTTTTTTTAAATCATAATTAATATTGTTGATGTCAAAAATCATAATTAGTAGTGTTAATATAAGAAAATTATAATTAATACTCATTTCAATACTTATTTACATATAATTATACTATCTACTAGAAAAAATTTTAAAAACCAAACAAATTATCAAACTGTAATTGACACAATATTTCTATTTTTAATTGAAACAATTTGGTTATTTAATAGATTTCGTTAATTTTATAACTAATAAGCAATCTAAGTGTAATATTTTAAATTTAAAAGGTCTAAGTATTATACGTCTACAAATTTTAAAGGATTTAAGTGTAATTTATTAATAAAATATGTTAACGGACATTAACGGTAGAAATCTAATTGTTACGCGTCTACAAACCTAACAAATTTATGTGTAATATTTATATAATAAAATAACTTACAATTTAATCTCAAAAGATAAACAAAATGACTTTTACTATTTGCGATTGAAATCGCTTTAAATTTTACTTTAAAGTTAATTTAACAACTAATATTAACACCCTAAATTTAATAGGAAAAATAAAGTCCTAATAGTGTGTTTGAAGTGATTTTTTAAAAGTATTTCTAAAAATTATTTCTCATAANTGGAAAGAGAGGAGAGAGAAAAAGTGCGACTATTGACCCGTACAGTATTTGTTTCCCAGGAATATCCACGGGGAAAATGTAGCGAAGCCTGTCTGAAAAGAACAAGAAACCTGTAATTGGAAAAAGAGAAAATTACATCTAGGCCCGTAAGATCCATGAGATCTGCACACGCGTAGTACATTGTCTCTTGCCGTTAATGTCCTAGTATATTTGATACTAAATTATATCCAAACATTGAAATTTAAAGTGTACAATACTTATATTTTTTAAGTTTAAAATATTATATTTAAATTAAAAATATTATAATTAAAAATAAAATATTAAATATTAAATATTTTAAATTTTACAATTAATTTTTTTTTAAATCATAATTAATATTGTTGATGTCAAAAATCATAATTAGTAGTGTTAATATAAGAAAATTATAATTAATACTCATTTCAATACTTATTTACATATAATTATACTATCTACTAGAAAAAATTTTAAAAACCAAACAAATTATCAAACTGTAATTGACACAATATTTCTATTTTTAATTGAAACAATTTGGTTATTTAATAGATTTCGTTAATTTTATAACTAATAAGCAATCTAAGTGTAATATTTTAAATTTAAAGGTCTAAGTATTATACGTCTACAAATTTTAAAGGATTTAAGTGTAATTTATTAATAAAATATGTTAACGGACATTAACGGTAGAAATCTAATTGTTACGCGTCTACAAACCTAACAAATTTATGTGTAATATTTATATAATAAAATAACTTACAATTTAATCTCAAAAGATAAACAAAATGACTTTTACTATTTGCGATTGAAATCGCTTTAAATTTTACTTTAAAGTTAATTTAACAACTAATATTAACACCCTAAATTTAATAGGAAAAATAAAGTCCTAATAGTGTGTTTGAAGTGATTTTTTAAAAGTATTTCTAAAAATTATTTCTCATAAATACTTTAAAAATAATAATAATATTTGAAACAGTCTCACCACCGCCTCTACCACCACCACCCCTATCACCACCACCGTCGCCACCCCCACCCCCATCGTCGTCGCCACCCCCACCACCGCCATCATCACCGTCGCCGCCGCCGTCACCATCACCACCTCAGACACCGTCGTCGCCACCACAACTATCAACGTCTCCTATCACCACTACTACCGCCCACCACCTCTCACCCCCATTACAATCGATACTTAAATTCATTTATCTCTTCTATATGTTTGTGATTTGATTTTGAATATGAATACAAATATGTTTATTATTTACTATTTTTTATTACACTGTGCCTTCAGGTACAGACAATAACTAGTATATATAATAAAGTAGCTTACAATTCAAATCTTAAAGGATAAAACAAAATGACTTTTGCTATTTACAGTTGAGATCTTTTTAAATTTAACTTTAATGTTAATCTAACGACTAATATTAACACCCTAAATTTAATAAAAAAATAAACTCATTAGAGGTGTATTTGTAGTAATTTTTTAAAAATATTTCTAGAAATAATTTATCATAAATATTTAAAAAAAAATAGTGTTTGAAACCGTCTCACCACTACCGACACCGTTACCATTACCATTGCCGCCATCACCATCGCCACCGCCACCATCGCCACCACCACCACTGCCACCACCATCATTGTCGTCATTGCTACCACCACCATCATCGCTACCGCCGCTGCCACCGCACCACCATCGTCGTCGTCGCCGCCACCACCACGGTCAATGTCACCCACTACAACTATCATTGTCCCCTATCACCTTCACTACTACCCATTACCTTTTCACTCCGTCACAAACCAATGCTTAAATTTTTTTATCATTTCTCTATGTTTGTGACGTGATTTTAGATATAAATACAAATATGTTTATTATTTACTATTTTTTATTATTTTGTACCTTCAGACACAGGTAATAACTAGTCTATATAATAAAGTAGCT